CGCGGGCTCAGGCAATCCACTCACCTCAGCCTCCCAAGGCACAGGATTACAGGCTGAGCCACTGAGCCTGGCTTCAATAAACACTTTTATTCCCATGCTTCTATCACTGCTCCCAGCACATAGGCATTTCTCCTTGAGCTACGATGTCTACCTAGTTCAGCACTTAGTGGTTTTTCAGCAAGAAGCACTCCATGGAGCCGGGACCTATGGGACCCTTTCCCCCTTGTGACAAGTGTAGACACAGGACACAAAACCCTAAGCCAGACTCCAGGGTTAGCCCTGGTCTGGGGATGTTCAGACAACGAGGCAGGAAAAGCCGCTGAGCTGGGCAGTAGCTCACACTGGCAGGAAGGAAAGATGGGAAATGCCAGGGGCCTCTTGTCTCCTGGCCATGATTCTGCCACATGAAGTCTTAGGAACTACTTGGCAGGTTGCATCTCCTCCAACACCTTTGTGTGTGTGTCTGCTCTACACACTCCCCAGTGCAGGTTTGGAACAAGAGCCCTGGGGGGTGCATTGGAGGTGTCTCTTGCTAGAACCTCCGGAAAGCACCACCTAGCTAGGTACCCCACCAGCTCCTTAACTCCCAGATCCTCCATCTCCTCATCTGTGAAAACATGGCAAGCCCACTCCCTGCTGAGGACATGGCTGTCCCACAGGGTCTGGGTACAGCAGCCCCTTCCCATTTCTGCCTTGTCTCTACTACCCCACAGAATGTCTCAATCATGCCAAGCCTCCTAAGGCATCATTTCCTATGATTAAGATTTCAAAACTACGAGGAAATTTAAAGAAAATCCTTCATTGCTTCACATAAAGGGAGGGAGTTAAAAGTTGGGTTTGTAGCCAGGCTTGGTGGCTCAGCCTGTAATCCCGCACCTTTGGGAGGCTGAGGTGAGTGGATTGCCTGAGCCCGCGGGTTCGAGAACTGCTTGGGCAGCGAGACCTCATCTTTACAATCAATCAAAAAATCAGCCGGGCGTGGTAGTGCATGCCTATAAGTCCGGCTACTCGGAAGGCTAAGGCGGAAGGATCGTCGGAGTCCAGCAGGTGGAGGCTGCGGTGGCCGGGAGTGGCCACTGCACTCCAGTCTGGGTGACAGAGTGAGACTCCAACTCAAAAAAAAAAGGTTGGGTTTGTGACATCCCCTCCCAAAAAAAAACGCCCATCCACAGGCAGCCTGTCCATGCACAGAGGGTGTGGTCTCAGCCAGAACAGCTGTGCCACACTAGGAGGACGGGGCGTGACATGGGCACAAGAGCTAGACAACCCACAGGTTCTCCAATCCCGGGAGCCAGGTCAGATGAAGACAAAAGGCAGCTCTGTAAACTACTAGGAAACTCACCAGCCAACATATGACAAGACTCTGATGCTGTGTGGAATTGTCACTGTGACTGTAGGCAGCTCCCTTACTACCTCAAATCCTCCCACCCTGACCTCCTCCCTAGGGCATCCTCCCACCAGTCCCATGGTCTCCCCATGGTCAGCACAGCCTGCCTTCCTGATCCGTCTAAACAGCACCCAGCTCCATGCTACAGCACAAACACATTCCAGGGCAGCAGGCATTACCACAGTGCTGGTCCACAAAGCAGGGAGTGCCCAGGAACCAGGACACTTGGGACCACAGGTCCGGCAGGCCTCTCTGCAGAGGGCAGCTGCCATGCCACAAGCTGGTGACTCATTAGGATTAGGATCAACCTGCATACCTCATGCTGAGGGTCCCTGATGAGATAATATGGCTTTTGGACCTTCGTTGGGAGATACTGCAGAGGCACTGATACCACAGGCTCGTGCTGGGACCATGGTCTCCTGCTGGGACCACAGGCTCACACTAGGACCATGACCTCACACTGAGCTGGAGAGGCAGGCCCAGTCCCTCCACACACTTGCCATGAGACCTGGTCTCAGAATCCTTTACTCCAGTGTGCAACTGGTGGCAACCATGTCAGTCTTGGCCAGGGAGCTGGGCAGGAGACTGGGCAGACTGGGCCTTGAGTCTAGCTCCTTTGATCAGCTTCGTGGCCAGGGCAAGTGAGCTTCTCTCCATGAGGCTCGGTTCTCCTCATCTGTGATAGCAGTATGACAACAAAACAGTGCAAAAGGCAGCCATGGGGGTGACCTAAGACCACACACAACCCACGTAGAAGACGACTGAGAAGGGATGGTCGTTTCCATAAATGGTCCTTGACAAATACATCCATGCAAAAAGAAAGAGGAAAACCAAGCCTGACTCCCAACTCAACCCAACACAAAACTCCATTTCTGACCAGAGAGTGCAGTGTTTGAGCTAATGGTGAAACAAGGAAGCTTCCGGCAGCAAACACAGGAGAGCATCTTACAGACATGGGATAGCAAAGATCTCTTAAGTGGTATACAAAACACACTAAGTTACAGGAAAGCATCAATACATCTGACCCAACTGAATTTAGAATTTCTGCTAATGGAAAGACACCATAAAAAGTGATGAGCCGGGCTCAGTGGCTCAGCCTGTAATCCCGTGCCTTGGGAGGCTGAGGTGGGTGGATTGCCTGAGCCTGCGGGTTCGAGATCCGCCTAGGCAGGCGAGACCTCATCTCTACAATAAATCAAAAAATTA